CATCTCGGGCTCTTTTTTGGTGCTCTATTTTTCTCTCCCTCTCGAATCCGTTCAAGCTTCCCTCCTCGATGCTCTCTCCGTCGATGTTTCTTCTTTTCTCGTCTGTCCCGGTGCTCTTTTTTTCTGCTGTGTTTCTCGTCTCTCTATGCTCCAGTTTTTTTTCTCTTCTTCCTCTCGTTTTTGTGCTCTGTTTTTTTTTCTGTTTTTTTCTCCTCCTCCCAACAAAAATCTGGTCTCTCTCTTCTTTGTTTTTTCTTCTCTTCCTTTTCTCTCCTTCCTCCATTTTCCTCTCTCTTCGTCTCAATCTCTTCCTCTCTCAGCCTCTCTTTCAGCTTCTAATCTCTGTCTCTGTTTTGCTGTGTTTTTTCCGTCCCGATGCTCTGTTTTTGCTTCCTTTTCTGTCTCCTCTCGGACTCACTCTCTCTTCATTTTCGTCTCAGCTCTCTCTCCTTCTCGTCTCCGTCTCTCATGCTCTATCTTCCCTTCTTTCAGTCTTTCATCCCTTTTAAAGCAGAAACCGGGAAGAGCTTGCGTGTAAGGTGAGAGTTTATGTGCTTTCTCGCTCTGCTCTGCCTTGTGCATGCGTCTGATTTTTCTTCTGCGTTTCTGTGCTTTTCTCTATGGTCTGTGCTTCATGCGTGCTGTTCCTACTTTCTTTCTGTGCATTTTCTGCGTACGTCGTCTTTGCTTTTTTTGTGTGTGTGTATGCCTTATGCTTTTTGTGTTTCTGCGTGTGTCATGCATGTTTCTTTACTGCTGTTTTGTGCCTCTTTTTCTGCTGCATGGCCGAAAGTGTGTGTGTACGTGTGTTCTGGTGTTGCATGAATCTATTTCTTTTTTTTTTAGCCATTCTTTAATACCCCTTTTTTTTGTTAATTAGATTGAGGGAGAGAAAGAAAAGTCTAATTTTAAAATACATATTTTTAAATGAAAAATAAAAGATTTAAGGAGAGAAATTTAAAAATAGTTGAGTCTCAAAAAATTGATTCCCAATATCTTTGAATGGTTGGGATAATTTGAGAGAGATTTTTTAAAAAATTTAAGCAAGATTTTTTTTTGAAAATATAATGCTAAAAAAAGGATTAAATTTTATTTTTATATTTTTTATATTTTTTAATTATTTATTATTAAATTTAAAAAAATGCCTGGATAAAATACGGTGTTCACACATACTTATGTGTTACCCCAAAAAAAATTATATATACCCATGAATGAGGAGAATCTAGACTCTTGAATAACATGAATGTCCTGCCATATTCTCGTCGTTTGAGCCAACTTCAAATAGTTTATGTAGTGTTTTAAGTTGATGCCTATGATAATATTTGCTTGATTGTGTAATTTGAAATTTCTAAATTTTGAAAAATAGGTCTTCATTTGTTAATTCATGCAATGAATGATGAATAATCATTATCGATACATTATATTCCATCCATTCTAAATTATAGGACATTTTTTAAAAGATTTTGTGTTGTAGAATATAAGATACTTTAATAAACATAAAGTTTCATTAATAATAATTTTTTAATATTATTATTCCCATTTAATTCTCTCTTTTTAATGTTCTTTTATAAATAGAGTATTAAATGAAGGATACTTTTTATATATATATATATATTGTTTTGAAAAAAATAAAATTATAAAGTGTATTTAATAAATTTTATCAACACGTGTGATTTTATCTAAAATTATCTTATCACTTAGGTCTAAAATAATTAAAATTAAAGTCACTTGCTTTGTAGAATTAGTTAATTAATTAAAGTCTCCACTATACTTTGTAAGATTTTATCATGTTCATTGCTATAAATTCTTAGATAGATTGAACATATCATATCATTTATGGTCTATCTAATTAAAACATGATATTTGAATGATATTAAATATATATTGATTCTGACATTAGTAATACAAGAGAGATAAAAAGTAAAAAAAATTAAATTGCATTCTGTTATAAAAATGAAATCAATTAAAAAATATCATATAAAATTTTATTTAAAATATTTAAAATATTTTAATTAAATAGATTATAAATAACATGATGCATTCAATATTTTTTGTTCATTAATTCTTTAATATTAATAGAGATTATTGAGTATTAATTAATTGTTAGTTAGTTAGTCGTGATTTGAAAATTGGAAGCGCGGTACAATTTGACAAGACTGTGAATTTAGTATCACACAAACACAAAATGTGATTCGCAAAACTGCCACCTCCAAGACTCTATTTTTTTTATAAGAAATAAATACCTACTTCCTCAACAGTAAGAAAAAGTAAGTAAATTTAGTTATGAGTTTTAAACATAGGATTAAATGATAAAAATATTCTGAAATTTTTTTTTAAGGATGTTTGTCATCCTAAACCTTTTTTAAATTATTTTGCTTCGAAAGTTTTAAAAATATAGTATTTTTACCCTACCATTTAAAATAAAAAATGTTGACTATTAAATTGAAGTTTGACTAAAAGTTAATTTTATATATTTCCTCCTTCTTTCTGTGCTTAATCTTTTATTTTGTTCTCCGATTGAATTCTCTAATTTTTCTTTTTTTTAACAAATGAAAAAGAAGACTACAGAAATACAGAAATGAAAGAGGGCAAAATTATAAATTGTCTTGATCAAATTTTAGTTAAGGTCAACATTCCTTATATTTAACGGTGGGGTAAAAATGGTTTTTTTTAACCTTCTGGGAAAAAATAATTTAAAAAAAATTTAGGATACTAAATACTCCTGGAAAAAAAATTTTAAGACATTTTTATCCTTTAATCCTTAAATGTATAATAGATAGTTTTTAACATGGAAGTAATTGAAAAACTATACTGTTTTTAATTAATGAAAATGCGATGGTGTTTTTTTAGTGATGACATGGTTAAAAAAATTTATACTTTTTTCCTCTAACTATTAGTCGCCTCCAATTAATTCACATGTGGGAAAAATAGTTAAGTAATTTCTCATCCCTATATATAAGCCATATTCTAAATAAAATTGATAGTCATTGTTTATAAATCACTTTACATAAAAATTATTAATTATTTTCTTCCCATTTTACCTGCAATTTTTTATTATTAAAATAAAGGGTTACATAGAAAATGTGTTTTAAAAAATGACGCATTTAACAAAGATAAATCAAGAATTTTTTCATTTTTTATTACAAATCCAAGAGGATTCTACATTCTATATGAGTGCTTCATTTAAAATAGCAAGATTTGAATTGTCTTGATACAATTGAGAATTTTTCTCTTTTTGAAACAATACTAATAATATAAGACTCATGCATGCTTTAGAATATTACTAAGAATTAAAGCCGTCATAAAATTAAATTAATTTTTAGAAAGAATCAAATTCAAGAATCACTTGAAAAAATTATTCACATATAATAATAATCAATACAGAATGAATTGTTATTAAAATAAAAATATAACTTTTTTTTAATGAAACTTGTTATTAGTTATTATCTGTAAATAATTTATTTGAATAGTCTTTAGCTGTGATTTTCCCTATTTTTTGACATCACCTTATTAATTACACTAAACCTCTATTATATACACCCCCTGTTTATATTATAAAGTATTTTTTGAAAGTCTTGTATTCAAAATAAAGAACATTAACTAGTTCTTATAAGTTTTCATTTATTATTCCACTCAAAAATTGGTTTATTAGAATTTTAACTGTCATTATTGAGGGGATGTGGCACACACATATATGTGACATTTTAATGGGTGTATAAGTGAAAAAAATTATAATTTTCTATAAATTAAGTTTTCAATTATTTTTTTAAAAATAGTTACCCAATATCCTATATTATGAATTGGAAGGACAGTTAATGGTACCATCTCTAAATATTTTTTAATGGTGGCTCAACTCTGGTCAAATATAATTGAATTATAAAAATAATTTTTTAGTTCAAATTGAACCATTAACAAATTCAATTAATAATTCAACGACTTTGATTGTCTGGTAAATTTTTTAAAACAATCCTACTCTTCCATCACAGTATCTCATATACGACTTATATAGAAAATATTTAATTTAATCCTCCGATTAATCAGTGTATGGATGATTAATAAAAATGACCAAATGCATCTTTTAATGATAGGATGGAAAGGAGCTATAAATAAGAATTTCAGAGAAAATTAATTATTATTATTTTTTGTATGAAGAAACAAAAACTGCACTTCCAAAGTTTCCTTATAAACAGGAGAGAGAGGGAGACACTCCTATTCCTATCCGGGTAAGTTTCGGCAGGCTGCCGCCAGCAGCCACTGTTTTTTGTCTTAGTGGCGAAGCTGAGCTGGCGATCTAGCTCTTAACTTTAGGATCCGCCACGTAGGACATCGTTGGACCCGCCCTTCTCTCTAAACGTGTGACATGACATCTTCTCTTTTCACTTTTGCCAGACTCTTCACCCAATCATAAAAATAAAAAATGATTCCAAATAACATTTCAAATGTTTTGTTGATAATATAATAACTTTAGGATCCACCACGCATATTTTTTCTTAGTACAAGTAGTTTCAAAAATCTGATATATTCTTACTGAGAATCAAATAATAAAATACTGAATATGTCATTCTTAAGTGCGGCGAATAAGATGTCCAAAAATTCTGATAAATTTATTTATTATCAACAAAATATTTGAAAATAAACCACATTCTCCACCATTTACTACTCCTTTAAATTATATTCATATTTTTAATTTTCACTATTACTAAAAATGAAAATTCAAATACTAATAAATATCTAACATTGGTGCCTAAATTTAGTAAACAAAATCAAAAGAAATCAGGTAAAATGGTGGAACATGAAACGGATTTTTCTGAATAAATAAATAAATAGTAAAAAGGAGGCCCCGGAAATTTCCAAGAGTGGAAATTTGGAATTGAACGAGGGAAGGAGGGTCTAGAGGGAGAGAGAGAATGATGTGAGATACAGAAAAAGACCTCAGCTGCCCAAAGGCTAAAACCCTGTTTTGTTTTTAAAAAAAAAAAAAACCCTGTAATTCTCTCTCTCTCTCTCTCTCTCTCTCTTTCTGTTCATCGAGACTTTCTCTCTCTAGTCTGTCTCCTTCCTCTTCCTCGATCTGTAACTCTACGCAGCTGCCTGCCCCCTTCCCACATTGCTCCGTCTTTGTCCGTCCTGGAGATGGACGGTGGCCCCGAACTTCGGTGCGCTTTACTTTCATGATTTTGAGGATGATTTTTGTATCTTCAAAATTCAAAGTTCTTTGAGCAGCCTTTTTCTGGTCCAATGTTATTATTTTTCCAATTTGAAGCGTTTGAGTTCGGGGAATCTAATATTGCATTAAGGATCAATTAATTGCTTTATTTGGATTTCTTTTCTTTATTTCTTTTGTTTGTTTGTTTTTTTTTTAAAAGTTGGTTGCGTTACAATGACATGTCTTTGTCTTTTGTTTTTTTCAAAAGGAATTAGCTCACCAATTTGATTTCTCCCGAATTGTAGAACTGGAAATGGGTATCAAAGGATTTGGAATTGGGGGCCTTTGATCTTCGTTACGATCTTGGCAGTGGCAGTAGCTGTAATTGCTAGCTCTTGCTCGTCAGATTTTCGTGATTCTTTTTGATCATTTTTCTTTTAACTTTCTAGATCATCCTTCGTAATTTCTCGTTTTTATAGGTGGAATTGAATGCTAATTTCCATAGGTGCCTTTTGATCTGAGCTGACCTATTTCAGTTCCGTCACTAGAAATTATATTTCTTCATATGTGTATCTTGAATTTGGCATATTGTGGTTTCCAGCAATTTGAAATATTTATGTGCGAAGCTAATGACATCGATATGTTTGTGGTTTTTTAGGTTATAGATGAAGAAATTGGTACAAGGGGCACGATTAATTGTTTGTTGCAAGCAAGATTTTAAGCGACTGCTTGAGCTGAAATCCAGCTAAATGGCTCGTGGGAGAATAAGGGCAAGGATAAGGCGGAGCAACCTTTACACATTTGCTTGCCTTCGACCCAGAACCACCGAGGACGGTGCCCATTCCCTTGAAGGCCCTGGGTTCTCGCGAACTGTTCATTGCAACCAGCCTCATCTCCATGAAAAGAAACCTCTACATTACTGCAAGAATAATATATCAACTACAAAATATAACGTTATCTCGTTTTTGCCCAAGGCTCTCTTTGAGCAATTTCGACGAGTTGCCAATATATATTTTCTTTTGGCTGCATGCCTCTCAGCCTCTCCAATTTCACCTTTCACACCAGTGAGCATGATTGCTCCTTTGGCATTTGTTGTGGGGCTTAGTATGGCAAAGGAGGCACTGGAAGATTGGCGGAGGTTTCTTCAGGATGTCAAGGTTAATCGTCGGAAGGTCAGTGTCCATAAAGGCAATGGTGTTTTTGATTTGACGGCATGGCAGAAGATAAGGGTTGGAGATGTGGTAAAAGTAGAAAAGGATCAATTTTTCCCTGCCGACTTGCTTCTGTTGTCATCAAGTTATGATGATGGTATATGCTATGTGGAAACTATGAATTTAGACGGTGAAACGAACTTGAAAGTGAAGAGATCTTTGGAGGTTACCTTGCCTCTTGATAATGATGATGCTTTTAAGGATTTTAGAGGAACAATACAATGTGAAGACCCAAATCCCAATCTTTACACATTTGTTGGTAACATTGATCATGAACGTCAGGTTTATCCTATCGATCCTGTCCAAATTCTCCTCCGAGATTCAAAGCTGAGAAACACTGATCATGTCTATGGGGTTGTCATTTTCACCGGTCATGACAGCAAAGTGATGCAGAATTCTACCAGTTCCCCTTCAAAAAGGAGCAGAATAGAAAAGAAGATGGATTATATCATATATCTTCTTTTCACCGTCCTTATTTTAATATCTATGATAAGTTCTATAGGATTTGCTATAAAAACCAAGTTTCAAACCCCAGACTGGTGGTACTTACAGCCCATGGAAGCCGAGTACCAGTATAATCCCAACAATGCTACCTTGGCTGGGATGAGCCATCTTATAACTGCACTCATTCTTTATGGATATTTGATACCCATATCACTCTATGTGTCAATTGAACTTGTGAAGGTTCTACAAGCAAGCTTCATCAACAAAGACTTACAGATGTTTGATGAAGAAACTGGGACACCAGCTGATGCACGAACGTCAAATTTGAACGAAGAGCTGGGTCAGGTAGACACTATCCTTTCTGACAAAACTGGCACTTTAACCTGCAACCAGATGGATTTTTTGAAATGCTCCATTGCTGGTATGGCGTATGGAGTGCACTCCAGTGAAGTTGAACTTGCTGCAGCAAAGCAGATGGCTTCTGATTTTGAGGAACAGGAGCCAGATCTCTCTAATTTCCCCCTGCCTAAGAATAAAGCACGAGGTTTGTCTGAAACTAATAGAATAGGTGGTGAAGAAATTGAAATGGAGCCCGTTGTTACTTCTAAGAGTGATGAGAGTAAAAGGCCTTCCATAAAGGGATTTAATTTTGAAGACAGCAGGATCATGAACTGCAACTGGTTGAAAGAGGCCAATTCTGATGTTCACTTGTTGTTTTTCCGAATATTAGCAGTTTGCCATACTGCCATTCCTGAGATGAATGAGGAGACTGGCAGTTTTACATATGAAGCTGAGTCACCAGATGAGGGGGCTTTTCTTGCAGCAGCCAGAGAATTTGGTTTTGAATTTTGTAAAAGGAATCAGTCTAGTATTTTCATCCGTGAAAGACTGTCTCCCTCTGGACAACCAGTTGAAAGGTTACTTGGTCATATGTGAACTCTTTTATGCCTATCCTTTCTTCTCTATCTCTGCTCTTCTCCAGAAAAAGAAAAAAAACGGGGGGGGGGGGAGTTTGCAGGAAAGGGGTTCAATATACGCTCTTGGCCTTTTCAACTTTTTAATTGTTGTATCGCTATTTTTCTAAACTTTTTTTGGGGTTTTTTTGATGGATTATGCAGGGAGTACAAAATCCTGAATTTATTGGACTTCACTAGTAAAAGAAAACGAATGTCTGTGGTTGTACGTGATGAGGATGGCAACATTCTTCTTATGTGCAAGGGTGCAGACAGGTTAGATTATGGAATCTCTGTTTCCTGCTCTAGATTCTGACAGCTGAATGTATGATGTTTCCAATCAAGTAGTGCATACGATCAGCATTTACATTATGATCGAGGAAGCTTGAATCCTCTTGAGGCTTGGAAAAGCTTTCCTTTCTACCAGTTTACATGATTGATCACAATAACTCCTGACTTCCTGACGAGAAGTTCACAAACATGCGCGCACACACTTGCACGGATTTTCAACATGTCACTTCAAACTTTGCCATTCATAGTCTGTCCCTTTCTTGGCTATGTAGTATCATATTTGATCGTTTGTCAAAGAATGGAAAAACATTTCTGGACGCTACTACCAGACATATAAATGAATACGGAGAATCTGGTTTGCGAACACTAGCCTTGGCTTATAGAAAGCTTGATGAGCAAGAGCACTCTGCTTGGAATACTGAATTCCAGAAAGCCAAAGCTGCTGTTGGGTCTGACAGAGAGGAAACTCTTGAACGATTATCAGATATAATTGAGAGAGAGTTGATTCTTGTCGGAGCTACTGCTGTTGAAGACAAACTGCAGAAAGGAGTAGGTTTTATCATTCTTTGTAGTCAATATGCATATATTACTGTTGGTCTACTTCAACCAATTTTCTCTTTATTGTCCTTGTCAGGTGCCCCAATGCATTGACAAACTTGCACAAGCTGGTCTTAAGATCTGGGTGTTAACTGGAGATAAGATGGAAACTGCAATCAACATTGGGTCAGTCCATCACAAATTATTTAATTACATCATACGTCTACATCTCTGTTCTGAACTTGATGAAAATTGCCTCTATAAACAAGCACAATTAACTTTTTGTCTCTATGGTGCAGATTCGCTTGTAGTTTGCTTCGACAGGGCATGAAGCAGATATGTATAACTACTGTGAACTCAGATTCATTAACCAACGGTGGAAAAGAGGTATTTGTCATTGAAAAAGAATAGAGGATTAAATTAATGGACTTGAGATTCATCTGAAGTTGAACTTATTCCTTGTTATTGCTTAGATCATCAAGGAGAACATTTTGAACCAAATCACCAATGCCTCACAAATGATCAAACTGGAGAAAGATCCCCATGCTGCATTTGCATTAATTATAGATGGTAAAACTCTGACATACACATTAGAAGATGATATGAAGCACCACTTTTTGGGATTGGCAGTAGAATGTGCATCTGTCATCTGCTGTCGTGTGTCTCCCAAGCAAAAGGCACTGGTAGGATCATTTTTCCTTTTACACTCGAGCATATAACATACACTGACACATGGATATTCAGCATTTGAATAGCTGATACTTAACATGAATACTGCTACTGCTGCTGCACCAATGATCCATTTGAGATCATGAACTGGAAAAAGTAGGGCCAATAAAAATCAAGTGGATTCAGGAGTTCAGTTGTGCAGAGCTGCAACTGCAATGTCTAATTAATTAATCCTTTGGCTCAGGTAACAAGGTTGGTGAAGGAAGGAACTGGGAAGACCACCCTAGCAATAGGTGATGGTGCAAATGATGTTGGCATGATTCAAGAAGCAGATATTGGTGTTGGTATTAGTGGAGTTGAAGGTATGCAGGTTAGTGACATACTCGACTGGCTCTTTTGACATGATTATGTCACATGCAGTTTTCATTACATTTATTAGTATTATATCTTATGTTAGATATTATACTCCCTCCGGTTCAAAATATAAGCAATCTTGTAAATGTAAATTTTTTTCCTCATTTTACAACTTGTATTTATTATCCTAAATTTTTGTATAAAGTTATCTTTCCCTCAGCATGAAGTGCATTGATAATTAAGTCTAGGGGTAAAAAGAAAAAAAAACAGTATATATTTTTATGAGAACGAGGACTTTATTAATATTTGAATTTTTTTTTAAAAGCTGCTTGTATTTTGGATCGAAAAGAGTAAAACCTTACTGGTACTGTTGCAACATATTGTGCTTTACCCTTGGTATTTTCTAAAATGCGAATTAGTTAGAGAGAATACCGATGTATGATGTTTGTTTACATGTTTGGGATATGTAAGTTGAACAAACCAGAGATAGGTTTTAGGCATTAATAAGAGATGGGATTGGAAAGAGGGTACTTGTCATGTTCCTTTACATTGCAAATTATTAAATAAAAAAGTTTAGATATTTAGGGGTTATTATTTAACATAATGGGGAAATTAATGGAGATATTGCTGTAGGATACAAGTTGGGTGGTTAAATTGGAGAAAGGTTAAAGGAGTTTTTTGCGATTGTAAGGCACCTAATGAACTTAAAGAAAAATTTTGTTGAACTGCTATAAACCCAGCAATGTTATATGACAGTAAATGTTGGACTTTAACGGGACAATAATAGTATAAAGTTGAAGTAGCAAAGATGAAAAATTCGAAATAAGCGTGTATGGGAAAAAGTGGGTGTTGCACCTATTGAAAGAAAACTATTAGAATTTCATTTGAGGTGGTTTGAACATATACAAAGAAGATCACGAGAGGCACCTATGAGAGAGTGAAACAAATAATTTTAAGCCCTGTCAAGAGAGGTAGAGGAAGGCCAAAAAGAACACTTTTGGAAGTTGTTGATTGAGACATCTTAATTAACAATATTTCTAAAAGCTTGATATATGATAGAGCACAATGGCGTCATATAATACATATAGCTGACTCTATCTAGTGGGATAAGGCTTGTTGTTGGTTATCTTGTTAAACTATTAAAATTATCAAGCCAAATTGGTTATCTTCTGGTCAAATATGAACAATGCCGTAGGGAAGTGTAACATCTCTTTGCATTGCAAATTATTTTTAGATCAATTTGCTGTGCAAAACAAAGAAAAGGTGAAGCCCCCTAGCTATACAACGGGACGTTTTGAAGGAACATTATTTAGCTTTCTTGTATTTTTCTTATTTTCGTGCGGTGATGAACAGTCAAGACTTGATTAGCGACTTTTGGTCGTATGTATTTTTTCTCCCTCATGGAATATTGAAAGATCTATTTTTATCTTTATTTGGTAAATAAACATTCAGACTGGCCGTGAGCTAATGTTTAAAATTTGATAATGAGAAATATATGGAAAAAGCAATTTCTCTTTATGCTTTTTACTCAAAATTGTTGTTCTTGCTTTGAAATGAAGTGTCATCTGATCAAATTTTTAAATTAAGTTGTATGTTTTCCTTCATAAGAGAACTGGCTTGCTTTTCTGGAAGCATTTTTCAATGTTACCTTAATAGTCTCATTTAGAGTAAGAGTAGTGTAGTTCAAATTTAGGACCCACTCGTGGGTACTCTTTAATTCTTACTTTCATCTTTTCCTGCCTGGTAGGAAAATGCACATAAAAAGTTTTTCTTTTGGAAGCATGCGCACATTTGGAATCTGTGAAACTAAAATTTGTAACTTATTTTCAGGCGGTGATGGCCAGCGACTTTGCCATTGCCCAATTTAGGTTTTTGGAGCGTCTTCTGGTAGTCCATGGACACTGGTGTTACAAGAGAATTGCACAAATGGTATTAATTGTTTATTCATCGTCCCCCCCCCCCAAAGTTGGTGTGTTCATGTTATGAGTTGATCCCCATTTTTCCCCTGATTGATCTGTTGTTCGTGCAGATATGCTACTTTTTCTACAAAAATATAGCATTTGGCCTGACCATATTCTATTTTGAGGCCTTTACCGGTTTCTCTGGGCAGTCAGTTTATGATGACTGGTACATGTTATCGTTCAACGTTGTTCTTACGTCTTTACCTGTCATCTCCCTCGGGGTTTTTGAGCAAGATGTTTCATCAGAAGTTTGCTTGCAGGTTTGCCCCCTTAAAATGCCCTCATTGTATGTCGTCTAAGGTTTTGGTAACCCTACGTTCTAAGAGTACTCACTTCTTGCTTTTTGCAGTTTCCCGCACTTTACCAGCAAGGACCCAAAAACCTGTTTTTTGACTGGTATAGAATATTGGGATGGATGGGCAATGGTCTTTATTCCTCTCTCATCATCTTCTTCCTTAACGTCATCATCTTCTATGACCAAGCGTTCCGTGCCAATGGCCAGACTGCTGACATGGCTGCTGTAGGCACCACAATGTTCACTTGCATCATTTGGGCTGTAAATCTTCAGATTGCTCTGACAATGAATCACTTTACCTGGATCCAACACCTACTGGTCTGGGGCAGTGTAACCACATGGTACCTATTTCTCTTGCTGTATGGCATGATTTCTCCGTACTATTCCAAGAATGCCTACCAAATACTTGTTGAAGCTCTTGGTCCTGCACCTCTTTACTGGATAGCAACCATTTTAGTAACAGTCACCTGCAATCTTCCTTATCTTACCCACATATCCTTCCAAAGATGTTTTAATCCGATGGACCATCACATCATCCAAGAAATTAAGTACTACAAGAAGGACGTTGAAGATCAAAACATGTGGACTAGGGAAAGGTCTAAGGCCAGACAGGAGACAAAGATTGGTTTCACAGCAAGAGTGGAAGCCAAGATCAGGCAATTGAAGGGAAGGCTGCAGAAGAAGCAATCGGCCATAGGTGCCTTGTCACCATCAAGAAACTTATAAATATTATTTTTAATAGGGTAGGAAATTTTTAGGCTTGCTCAATTTTTTCCCTCTCTCTCTTAGTAGCCTTCCTTGTTGTTTATTTTTCCCCTGCTTGTTTTGGTTTGCTTATAAAAAAGGTTATCTGATAGGGAGCTGTTGTATGTATCATCCTGCTTATACTAGTTTGTTTACAGACTGATAGTTCCATTCGTTATTATGGAGAAGCAACGGGGGTTGTTGTATATGTTAGTTAGAGGTTGACATTATGTTAAATTCTTGATGCATCAGATTTATTTGATTCTCTAGTCAGATGGTTATGATTCAATTCAAGTGATCTTACACAGTTGATTTTGTTATGTAGCGGCGCACATTCGCTTTTAAAAGTAGCTCATAGAAACAAATTAAACGCCTTATGATATATCACTCTCACGTCGAAGAAGAGGGCAAAATAAATCAACTTGAAAATTCCATTACTACAGTAGAATGAAGAAAAAACTTGGAAAGTCCATTAATAATAAAGTCGAAGGAAGAAAATTCTGTCCTCCTGAAAGCTAAACATCGAATAATGCTGCGGACGCATATTGAAAATTGTTATCAATAATAACAATTTAAAAAATCTTGCATTAAATTTCATTTACGGGATAACGGTGGGTACCCCAAAAATACGAATAGGAGAGAGGAAAAAATCTGCTTGACTGCATCTTCAAAGTAGCGAGAAATTTTGCCCCCGCATTGAAGCGCGAGGAGGGTTTGCGCGTCGCGAGGAACTGAGGATTGCTTCTTTGTGTTCTCTTTCTATCTCTCCCCTCTTTTTCCTTCTTCTTTCCCTTCCTTTTTCTTTTTCTTTTTTTTAATAATACGAAGGACCCCATTTCTTCCCATCGATCCTTCACATAGAAAAGAAAGGTTCTTTTCATTTTTTCCAATTTTGTCCTTCACTCTTTCCCTTTTCCCACTCCTATCCTTTTCCTTATCCCCATACCTTTGATTTCCCTTCTGCAGCTGCCACTTTGAAGTCGTCTCTTGAGTCTTGTTGCTAATCCTTGATTTTCCATTTTTCAATTTTAATTTTCTTTCTAGTGTTTGATCCTCAAACCTTTTTCTTTCTTAGTTGTAAAGTTGTAATTTAGTTCTAGGGTTCGGCCTGGCCGTCGATCAAATTTTGTTGAATGGAGCCTCGAGTAGGGAACAAGTTTCGTCTTGGCCGGAAGATTGGTAGCGGATCGTTTGGAGAGATCTATCTCGGTGCTCTGTGTTTCCTCCCGCTTTTTGGTTTTCCCATTTTTGTTGTGAATTGGTGTAGTTTTGCTGACCTGTTACGATACTTTTGCCAGGTACTAATATTCAGACTAATGAAGAGGTTGCAATTAAGCTCGTGAGTACTTTAACCTTCAATTCGCGTTGCCGCAGTGTATTCTGCCATAGTTAGTGTAATTTTGTTGCAATTTGCTTTTCACAAATTGGCTGATAGGCAGTAGTTAGTGTAGTTGTGCCTTGGAATAATTAGGATGTAGTTTTGTTGTTCCTTACATTTGTGTCTGGGAAATGTGAAAAATGGCATCGTATCGTACCGTAAAAATAGATGCATGTGCAAAATTGAAGCGATTAGTGTGCTTTATTTGTTGGAAAAATTTAATTATGTTGATGAGAGATATTTGTGCTCGCTTCTTTGTGCATCTCTTTAGAATCTGCTTGTGCCTGATGCTCCTCTGCTGTAATTTCTTAACTGAGCTACTCCAGCAACCTGATGAAACATGATTAGACTTTTATAGGAGGGTCTGATCACCTGGGTTATGCATGACTTAGTCTGATGAAGCCAGAAAACCTCGAATGCCAAATGTTCTAATTTTATTAAATTTAATGTCATTGTGGTTCAATGATTCTGTACTCAGATGGCTTGAGCATCAAACATATCTCATAACATCCTTAAGTCTAGTACAGTCTTACGTAGTTCAGGAAGTTTGAAGTTTCAATTATTTGTATTTTTTCGTTGATAGTTGAATATATTCACAACCTGCATATCCAGTACCTGTAATTCTTGAATTGATCATCCATTGCTGTAATTTGCTCCTCAGGCATGGAATTATGCTTTGCTTCTTGTGTGTAGAAATGGCATTGATAATAATTGACTTCTTAAAGAACTGTTTTGAGGACATGTGTTGGCTTAAGTATTTTTTTCTTTATTTTGCCTTTTAAAACAGGAAAATGTCAAGACCAAACACCCTCAGCTGTTGTATGAATCGAAGCTGTATAAAATACTGCAAGGAGGAAGTAATTACCACCATCACTTCCTTCTGCCTTTTATATATTTTGTTCTTGTAGAATTTGCTTACCAATTTTAAACCCAAATTATTTCTGCTTGGCTTCTATGTAACAGCTGGAATCCCAAATGTGAGATGGTTTGGTGTTGAAGGAGACTACAATGTGCTTGTCATGGATTTGCTAGGGCCCAGTCTTGAGGATTTATTCAATTTTTGTGGCCGAAAATTGTCACTTAAAACTGTTCTTATGCTTGCTGATCAGATGGTAGGATTTCCAGTGTTGTTTGGACATCTTTCTAACAACTTGTAGTCACTCATTTCTTTGCAATGACATAAACTGTTTCAGATAAATCGAGTTGAATTTGTTCATTCAAAATCATTTTTACATCGGGACATAAAGCCAGACAACTTCCTCATGGGTTTAGGAAGGCGTGCGAACCAAGTATTGGTTTAAGGCTTGCTTTATTGTAATTATTTCTCCTTTCAGACTCTGTCATCTATTATATGTTATGTATATTGAAATTTACCTCATTGATAGGTATACATCATTGACTTTGGTCTTGCAAAGAAATACAGGGACACTTCTACCCACCAGCATATTCCTTACAGGTTAGTTTTTCAGTTAATTGTTTTCTTGTTTGATTTTGCACGCCATAGTTTTCTTATGGTAAAAAACAAGCATTGGCTTGCAATTTAGTTGTGTTGTTGTTGCATTTTAACATGCTTGTCATTCTATGCAGAGAGAATAAGAATTTGACAGGAACTGCTAGATATGCTAGTATGAATACTCATCTTGGAATTGGTAAGCCTTCTGCATGTATTTCTTCACTTTTCTTTTCTTTTTTTCCCACCAAATTGTGGTAATTTATTCTGATCTTTAGAATCTGCTTAATGCTTTAATAGAACAAAGTCGCAGGGATGACTTAGAGTCACTTGGATATGTTCTTATGTACTTTTTAAGGGGAAGGTAGAGATTCTTGTGCCCATGTTAATCTTAAATTTCTGCCACCTGCCACCATGCAATTAGTTTTGACATTTTATTTTTGTAGTCTTCCTTGGCAGGGACTGAAAGCAGGTAATAAGAAGCAGAAGTATGAGAAGATCAGTGAGAAGAAAGTTTCTACTTCTATTGAGGTAAAATTGTTAGTTAAGATAGTATTTGATGCATATTATGTACTTTTTTAAAAGAAAATTATACTGAATTTGAATTAATTTTTTGCTAGTCTCTCTGTCGTGGATATCCCTCAGAATTTGCATCATACTTCCATTACTGTCGGTCTCTGCGTTTTGATGATAAGCCAGATTATGCTTATCTGAAGAGACTTTTCCGTGACCTGTTTATTCGTGAAGGTGTAATTCTCAACTGTTTTCTATCATCTATCTTCTATCTTATTTGATTGCCGAATAGTCCTTTTATGACTGCATTTCATTTTATGAAATAGACGGTTGCGTTTTAGTAATACTTTTTTATTTTTTGGGTTGTTTCCTCACTCCAGGATTTCAGTTTGACTATGTCTTTGATTGGACCATCTTGAAATATCAGCAATCCCATATTTCTACTCCTCCTGGACGTGCTATTGTAAGTGATGTTTTTCTATCTGGTTTGGTTGTCTCTTTCATGTTGAGGTTAGTCTGTCTTATTAGAAATAACATTTGCAGGTTCCTGGTGCTGGACCAAGTACTGGCATGCCACCAGCTGTTGCAAATGCTGATAAACATTCAGGTATATATTTTCTACCCTTTCTTTCTACATCCCCTGTGTATTATCTATCCGTCTATCTTGATAAAGATGTTTTCAGATGAAGCACTTTGTGAAAGTGAATAAAAAATACTAAAAATATTAGCAGAGTGAGTGTAGACTCAAATTACATAATGATTATTTTGACATGGCTTAGCTTTTGCATGCCCTCTTGTCATTACTTATTGTGTTTTTGAATTTTATATGGTAAACTCAATTACAGGTGGGGAAGACGGCAGACACACTGGTTGGTCTTCAGCAGATCCTACTCGTAGGAGACATTCAGGACCTATTGCGAATGATGTCATCTTATCTAGGCAAAAGGCTGCAGTTCCAAGTGACTCGAATGTATCAAAAGATGGAATGGTGCGTATATTTTATTGTGGACTTCAGAGCTTTTTTCCATGTCTTTTTGGAAATTTGGATGATGGTAGTTTCTTTCTGTATTTATTTAATTCCTTCCTTTTCATTGATATTGCTTTCCAACTGACGCACGGATCAAATTGAAGAAAATGAGCATTTGTTAGGAATGTGGATATCTTCCTAAAAAAAAAACATATGAAGGTGTAAGTTGCAACTTTTATGTTTTTGGTGATGACACAGATTATATCTGTTTTATCATTGCGTGGATGTGCACAGATGAAGCTCAAAACGTGCAAGTGATATAGTTCTCTTTACAATTCAACATTTTGTTTGACAAGATATGTTTGATGCTGCGGAATTGGCATATTTGGACCTGCTGCAGTAGGTTTTTGAGAATATGATAAAATGTGAATGTAGTCCTTGTTTACTGGACACAGAAAATGAATGCAGTTTGTTTAATGTTTAGTATGACTAATCTATCCTATGATATTTGTTGGCTGGTCGGAGACTTGGAGTCCTGCTGGTTAATATTAGAACTTCCCATACTATATATTATAATTTCTCATACTGCAATTTTCTGTGTGTTTTTTTATTTTGCAGCTGTCTGGTTCTAATTTTTTCCGTCCAAGTGGATCTTCAAGGCGAGCTGCTGTTTCTAGCGGCCGGGATGGAGCTACTGTTGGCAGTGAGCAAGAGCCTCCTCGGGCTCTTGCTGTTGATGCAAGTCCAGGAGCACTACGTAAAATCTCTGGTGCTCAAAGAAGTTCGCCTCTTGTATCAGTGGAGCAGAGCAGAACGTCATCTGGCAGGAGCCCGGCAAACATCAAGAATTTTGAGTCCACTCTGAAAGGCATTGAGAGCCTTCATTTCAATGACGAAAGGGTACAATACTAGCGGCTGCCTCCTTGTGATCTCTGGTCTCTGTAAATTCTGATGAGTTTCATACTTTCAAATGAGGTGTTGTCTATGCTTTGTTGTGGAGGAAAGCTGCAACAAGTGTGAGTGGTCACTATATGAAGAACAAAATAAAGAAACACTTTTGTGGCTTCCTGAATCCAAGATTATACTCATATTTTGGCCTAGTAAAAAGGCTTGTGTTCATACCCTTTATTGTCTAGTCACTTCTCATGCTTTAAGACTGTTCCCTGGTGATAAACCACGCTGAAAAATAGACATGGTAAGATTTTGGGAAACTATAACTTGGTTTTAAAGTTATAGTTAATTCATTTCTTTGATTTTAATGCTACAGTTAATACCTTGGTTTTTAGTACTGCCTAGTGGAAATCTTTTGTTGTTAGCAAGGACTCCTGATAATTATCTGTAGCATATATGTGACACTTAAAATGCATTGAATTGAAATTTGATGGAAATTAAAGTGAATTCTATAATGCTGACAAACGCAAACAAATCATATTTAAGTTTACCACATGGCATCTTGTAATTTCGGGAATTTTTATCTGTGAATTATTTCATGATTACGACTTTAAACTTCGACGTTCTTGAGTATATTAATGCACCACTGCAACTACCTATACCATGATTTATCGAATCGCTGAAGAACGAAGAATACACGCGAGAGGGCACATTTATTGGTGATCAATAATTTGACAGTACTAATTCAGCATATTTTTATATTAAATTAACTAACATTTACTCCACACTTCTGTTGTACTCAATTTTAAAATTTTATAAATAAATATTATAAGAATTACATAACCACCAACAAGCATCTAAATCATATTATTAAAGGAACTGAATTTAAAAAGCTTATGTAGATGTTTAAAAAGGGAAATTACAAGGGAAAAAAAAAGGCATGTAAAAATAACAATTTAAAATGGTTCAGAATTTAAAAATATCTCCCCTTTTTTTTTTTGTATGAGCTCACTATATGAAGATCTTTGCACGGAGCCTATAAATAAGTTGGTAAGCCAGCACTGTTCATGTAACAGTGATTTGTAAAATGAGCATTGTGGTCGTTAAAAGTATTGGCTTGAATGATTTTGTTATAGATAAATATATTGATGATGACTAGATGCATCACAGGTACTACTTTTTTTAACATTAATCAGCCTTGGCTTGATAAATGCATATTCTGTGTTTCTATTGCACTTCTAGTGGCAAACTTGTGATGATGATAATATTTTTTTAGAAGATAATAGTAGATATTTAGGGTGAAAGAATAGGACGACTCATGAACTAAGCATAACAGTGTGAGTGAGTGCGTAAGTAACACTAACTAGACAGCAGGAGAAATAATTCTTAGATGACCTAAGTTATTCAACCATCTCACTCCAACTCAGAGTTCCTTCAATAATAGATTATCCAAGTCCTTTAACAAAGCTCCTTCCAAGTCAGAGTTCTCAAATGATTTCAAATTTTTCTTCATTTTCAAACACTTCACTTTTGCATCACTCACTGGAAAATTTTAGATCTGATTGGCATGTTAGTGTTCCTCCAAATATTGCAATAAAAATTTAAAAAAAAAAACGAGAAAACCTTAAGATTTCTGCATTTACAATTAGAATGGCAGGCATGCCCCTAGAACTACTTAGTAGAGCTTCTAATGTTTCATTATACCAAGGGAAGGAAGAACGGAGAAGAAAACAAACTCTGCTTTAAGAAATTTCTGAGATCATTAAAAGAATGCGGTCAGATGTCCTTGAATTTCAACTCTAACAGTGTAAAAAGAATCTTAAGATAATAATACTAGTCAAAAAAGTAAAACCCTGAAGAGCTTTTAAAAACCAAAAAACAAAAATGCTAACTCATCAGAGCAGATCTGCAACATTTGATGGCAACTCCTCTATGGTTACGTTATAGAACTTCTGAATGTCAGACAGCATTCTTGAATCATCCAATGTCACAAAATTTATAGCTACACCTTTCCTTCCAAATCGTCCACTCCGACCAATTCGATGAAGATAATTTTCAGGCTGGGTTGGCAGATCATAGTTGATGACAAGAGATACTTGCTGCACGTCAATACCACGAGCCAGGAGATCAGTAGTGATCAGAACTCTAGAAGAACCAGATCGAAATTCACGCATGATAATATCCCGAGTGTTTTGGTCCATGTCACCGTGGGTCGCCGATACAGTGTGGTCGTTGCTTCGCATCTTATCAGTGAGCCAGTCCACCTTGCGCCTTGTGTTGACAAAAATGACACTCTGGGTGATGGCCAGTGTTTCATAAAGATCACATAGCGTCTCTAGCTTCCACTCCTCCTTATCAACATTGACATAAAATTGCTTGATACCTTCAAGGGTCAGCTCATCGCGCTTTACCAAGATTCTCACAGGCTTGTTCATGAACTTCCTGGTAATATCAAGAGCTTCTGGAGGCATTGTAGCAGAGAATACTCCGACCTGAATCTTGCCTGGCAGTAGCTGGAAGATGTCATAGATCTGCAATACTAATTAAAATGTTAGTCAAGAATGAAATTAAATCTCTAACCTTACAAAATTCAAAGAGTGCTGGTGATTATGGATGCAAATTGAGATGATGATATCCAGTATGTATATGAAAATCAAGAAAAAGATGCCAGGTGAGTTAAGACAAACAAGTGAGAATGAAGAAAAATTGACAAACCTGGTCCTTGAAACCTCGAGAAAGCATTTCATCAGCCTCATCCAAAACAAACATCTTTATGTAATCTGGATGAAGTGACTGCCTCCGCAGCATGTCAAACACACGACCAGGAGTTCCAACAACGACATGAACACCAGCTTGGAGAATGCGCTGATCTTCACGAACACTTGTGCCACCTACACAAGCGTGAACCTTAACACCAAGGTAATCACCAAGAGCTCGCATAACCTTCTCAATCTGCTGTGCTAGCTCCCTTGTTGGCGCTAAAACCAAAGCCTGGCACTGAACTAAACCATAATCAAGTTGCTGCAAAATTCCTGAGCAGAATGTTGCTGTCTTGCCAGTTCCAGACTGAGCCTGTTGAATGACATCAAGACCCTTGCAAAAAGGAACAATTCCCCTCTGTTGGATTGCAGAAGGCCTCTCAAAACCTTCAGGACAAGAATCAGAAATTACACACATGATCTGGTAAAAGAGTTAAGCAACATTCTAGAAGAACAAAAAATATCTTTTTCTAGAAAAATACATCACTGACACTCATCCAAACGCCATATGCAGCATCCAAAAAAAAAACAGGAAAACATAGAAACATAGAGCGAAACAAGCTGAACAAATAAACGCACAATCCAAGCATATGTAGTTGGGAAAATAATATTCCATGGCCTCTGCTTAACATCACTAAGGCTGCAGTGAGGGAACATTTCAACAGTATAGATGAGAACATGCAAGTGTAAATAATTTCAAGATAACTGCAGAGGCAAAAAAAAAAAAATTACCATAAGCATAGATGCCTCTCAAAAGATTTTCTTGTAATCCCATTGCATCAAAAGTATCATAAACCTCATCATAGTTGGTGAAAAAGTCTTGTCCATCAGCAGAAAGCCTAAGCAATTGTGTAGCCATAAATCAAAATCCCAGAAAAGGCAAAAGAACAATGAATTAAAGCATACCAAAATTAGAATATGAAGTACACTAACTCACAATTCATTCATTTTAGCATCATATTGACGAGCATCAAATTGAGTTCCTTCCGGAGCCAAACCTGCCATAACTGTAATGAGGAAAATGTAAAGGAATGTTTCCAGAAACTTTCTGTGATTGCAAATGTAACAAGTTGGCACCTATTAAAAACTAGAAGTGTCTCCTCATAGCTAGAATTAGATAGATACTTGGGGAAGAGAAGGATAAAATGGTTAAAAGTTATAACAGACTAGAACATACTAAAAAAGTAGGCTTTGAAATGGTAAGTCATCTTTGTAAAGATAATACAAGTTCTCATGACAAAATTATAAGTTGATGATGATAAAATATGTAACAAAAGAGCCAAACTTGCAATCCACCTAGTAAGGAGTACAAGCATTAAACTTCTGCATAGATAGTATCTGGAGGTAAAATTTTAAAGGGCCAACAGATATCAGCAATCACGAACATTAACTGTCAGTGTTAGACACTGTTTTGCCCATTCCTCCAAGGTTTAGCAGATCTAATTCATGAAGGGGGTCCACAGACAGCCAGAAATAAAGGGTCACCCCAAAATAAGATGTCCATACACATCTCTAGGTCAATATATTCATTTATCGAAATTTTCATGAGAAGTATATAGCAAAAGAGCCAAACTTGCAATCCACTTGCACAGGAGTACAAGTATTAAACTTCTGCAATTTTAATATCTGGAGGTGAAATATTAAAGGGTCTGCGTATATCAGCAATTTTCAGTGTCTGAAACAGCTTTGCCCACACCTCCAGGATCCAGCATAACATAACTCCTCTATGAAATGGGTCACCAAGAAGCTAAAATCGAGGGGCAACGCGTAAATTTCAACATAACAATTCAACCTTCCATGCCACTCTATCGAGATGTAGCATGCATGCCATTAAGACTTTTTTTTTTTTTGGAAAAATCACATCTTTTGAAATATATTTTTTTCAAGCAAGAAACATATCACAACTATCAAATGAGGAATATCAAAGCACAAAAAAAAAAACTAAAAAATATACCAACCAAATATTGCAGAGACGAAACACCCATTTCTAATCAGACAAGTGAGTTCTCAAACAAATATTCAAACTTTGGGGGGTAAGATAACAAGCAAACGGCAAAATGACAATGCCCATAACACTAAAATGTTCAGAAGAAATGCTACCTGGAAAAATGTTGAATTCTCGCTGGCACAGCAGCGATAGAGAGAGACGACAAAAGAGCAGAGAAGGGAGAATTGAAACTTGAGAGCAGATTCGATGGGGAAACTAGGGTTTCCCAAACTCCTCGGATCCGAACCGTGGAGTTGGAGGGAGGCGAATGAAGTTAGGTTTAGTTTTTGTAGCTAAGAGGGAGACTGGAGAGGGAAAAGATAAAACCAAAAAAACACATTAAATTAACCTGGGCTTCCACCTTTACCCTCCTTAGGTCACAACACATGAATTTGCACAACTGCAAATAGCCAAATATAGTATGGTTCAAAATTAGCTTCATCTCAAATCATGAGTTAATGACTTGTTCAAATCCAATCTTCCAATATCTGATATTTAGTTAATAAAAATTCTATAACGTTAACAAATAATTATGTTACCAATTAATATTAATTTTTCCATATTAATTAGCTATGTATTTGTATTTTTTTTCTATAAATGATGGCCTTAATATTTTGCTCAAATAAAAAAATATTTATTTTTATTCAAATGAAAGAAGATATAATTTTTTTTTACTACTTACACAATCCTATTCTAGATACGGTTTAACAATAAATATAAGTATTTCTTTCAACAAAAATTTAAATCTTATGTTGTCATGTTATAAGAAATTAGTATTTTTCTACAAGACCCAACCCTTATTGATAAGATATTAAATATTTTGACAACAAATAAACCCAAGTTGTTGGCATGTTCTTTCTCTAGTGACATGATTTTACCTTATTATAAGGTTTTTCGAATCAAGCTTACAGAGAAGCTTGTAAATAGAAGTTTTGTAATGAGTTTTGTTATAATATGTTCGTGATAAATATGGGCAAGAAATAAATCTTATGACTATGGAAATATATGCTTCATGTGGGGGTATATGTGTGTAACTGAAAGAAACATGCATTATGTTTTTTGTTTTACTTCTTACACAGACAAAATTAGCTTCCATCACTGAGGGATGCTTTATTTTTCTTGACGATCAAGATTGTACTGTCTTCCCCTGTATACCTAATGTTAATTGTATCATGTTTTTTGGTAATTGCATCGTGTTTTTATTTCATTTTATTCTATGCACTAATTAATTTTTAATTATGATAGCAATTATCATTGAATTTGTGAGATAAATTAATTTATTATTAATTCTATAAAAAGAAAATATTAATTATGTAGATTTGATATAAATCGAGTCAATTGTTTGATTAAGATGCATTGTTCAATCCCTCGAGGTGTATATAAAGAATATTCTTTTAGGAGAAAACAACCATTTAAATTGCACTTAATTTTTTCGAGAAATTAATCTTATGGTTGTGGATTGTGGGAAATCGTATACCTTGAAAAACAAAAGAAAAATAATATATAACAATCATCATGAAAAAAAGGCAAAAATAATAATTAAAAGTTTATCATGTCCGTACGAAAAAAAAAGTTTTACCATGGTTAAAAAAAAAAATCCCATGTACTCGCGCTTTACTCTGACAAAACAGTCTATTGAAAGTTGAATATGTATAAAATGTAGACATATGTGGGTGTCTTGATTATATTTTTGAAACAAAATAAGCATTAATGTAATATAATTAAAATTAAAATATTAAGAATTTTAGTATAACTCAATTTTTTTTAGTAGAATCCTTTGTCAATTATTGATGAACAAAATACCCGTACCACGTGGTTAATGATAAGAGAGGCATGACACCAAACATTTTTATTGACAAAACACAATCATTAATTCCTATAATTTCATCAAATTTTATTTTTAATTATAATATTTTTTTTAATATTTTTAATCTCTATAGTTACAAAAAAAATAAAGTGGCCTTTGTTTTTAAGTTCCTATAACTTAATATTTTTTGGTGATTTTAATCTCTAAAAAAAACTACAAATATTAAAAAAATTATAAAAATTAAAAGAAAAATTCAATAGAACTATAGGGACTAAAAATTATGTTTTTCTTATTATTAGAAAAACTTGTACGTATCATTTTATATATTTAATAAACTTGTTTGTAATAAAATTAAAACATATGTACTTTTATATATTATTTACCTTCTACTTGTTAATATTTTAAATTTAAAAAATAAAATTTACTTGTACTAATTTGATTATAAACGAGTAGATTAATTAAACACGCGAGATTAAATACCCCTCTACTCCTTTATTAATTGTTACATCAAGAATTTTGGGTTGGGTGTTGGGTTCTTAGATTAGGGTTTGTTTGGATTTTGGTCATTATTTCATTCATATCATGATCTATCATCAATAAAATGTTTACTTATGGGTGACAGGAGAAAAAAAAAAATCAACCAATATAATGATTTTGCTTTGTATGAAGAGATATAGAAGCAACAATATCTCAGCAGAAGGCATGCTTCTTAGACAAGTATTTATAAGTTGCTGATTGGATTAGCAAAAACTTAAAACATATAGGATACGTGAAAGGAAAAAAGAGCGAACGATGTTAATTGAATAATCCTCCATTACATATTTTATAAGAATATAAAAGTTTTTTTTTGTTTTTATACTCAATTTTTATTTAATTATTTTTTAATTTAAATTATGTTGAATTATAGGTTCTGTGATTATTTTTATTTTAGACATTTTATATTATATCAAACACAATTATTTATATTTTATAAATAATAATTTTGAGGATCAAATAACACATCACAAGCATTTGAGACATTTATGTTTATAGTAGCATAATCTATACATTATAATCTTTTGTTGCCAATATGTAATATAAATTAAAGATTATATTTAAAATATTCATGCATCCATATTTATAATAATAATAATAATAACGATTAATGTTAATAATAATTATTGATAGGGGTCTCTTCATTTTTTTATCTTCACTGTCTCTCCATTTCTAACTATGACCATTTATCAAATCTATTATTGAAATAAATTCATTTAATGCAATAATATTAATAATTATATTTGGAAAATGGAGGACAAACGATGACAAAAACATGGAGAAACCCCTCTCCTTAAAAGACACAAACCACTCGAAATCAGTATATAAATAGCTCTAACATATTGTACTTGCTTCGTTTTATTGTTGTTGTTGTTGTTCTTCTTCTTTTGTTATTTATACTGGAAGATATATTAATTTCTATAATTCATTTATGAATGAATATTCACTTTTTTTAATAAAAAACGATGGTAAAACCAAACTATTATTTAACTAAAAACTATTATTACTTATTAATTATGTATATGTATGATAATTTATTAATATCCGAATGCTTTTATTATTTATATCAAAAACAAGATTTGTAAAATGCTACAGGGTGAAGTCTTTTCTCCCAAAATCTTATTTTCAACATGCGTGGGGTGAAATGATATTTCTGGTTCTTTAGTTCTTTCTTTAATAATAAAAAATTACAGGGTTCTTAGATGATATTTTACCAAAAATGAAACCCTCCGGCAGCTTGCAGCTGCAGGCTCGCACTTCTCAGCGTCCTTGACGATTCGGTTATTCCAAGGTTTTCGTCCTCGCTTAAGTTATTCCCCACCTCTTTCTCTCTCTACCTCTTTTCCTCGCTTTGCTATTACGGATCATTAGATCTTACCGATTCGAGCCAGAAGAAGCTCTTTCAGTTTGCTCTGAATGTATTAATCTTCGTACCAACTGCAATTCGAGGTAAAAGCTAACTCTTCATTTCCTTGTTCAATTTTTTGCATCAGCCTTCCATTTGGTTGCTTTCAAGACGAAGGAAATCGATACGGGTCATATAACGTATAAACAATTGCAGCTTCTGAAGCTTCGTGGTTTTTTAATGTGCTGGATTTGGCACAGTCCGAGGGCTACACAAATCATGTTTTTAGAAAGGGGTCTATGTGTTGTCTCTACGAGCTCTTGTTGCTTAGATCTTGGATACTTGTTATTGCTGTATTTGTGAGTTGTCTAAAGTTGTCCCCTTTCACGGTTCTAGCTTATGTGAATGAGAAGGGTTATCATTTCTTCTTCCGCCTGTTGCTGTCTCTAATGACTGACTATTACGGGGCTTTAATACGGTCAATCCTCTTAAATTACATGGTTGTTTGTTCTTCTCACATTATTTGGACCCCTTAACACCTTATCTGGTTGACGAAAATGTCTTTAGTAAGTTTCAAGGGGCAGCACAACACTTTCACACTAGTAGTATAAACAATAATAACAGAACAAGATGGAAGATATTCATTCATTCGAACTTTGTTTGGATGTTTGTTTGGTGATTTGGTCCAAGGAAGAAATAACTCAAGATTTCTTCACATCTGAATTAGCTTTAGTGCTTTTCATTCTCAACTCCAAAATACTGCATCAAGCACTAAAGAGCTCCTTTCCACTTAATTCTGTGCTAATGTTCCCCGTATTTCTATTCTTCTAGCCAACCCAATGACTCAAACTATGGAAAATTACTCATCACAGTGTAAACACAGACAAATATTATCTCCATTCATAGTGTATTGGAGAAAGAGCAGCAAATGAACAGATGACGCATTGGCTCACCACTTAGTTTAACTTTTAGGAGCTAACAATTCTGAGTTGGTGAAAATTTTCTTTTATTGTGTGATTTGCTATCAAAAGTCTATATCCTTCCCCCTTCCTTGAGGTATCAACTTCATAGAGAATGCTAAATCTTCTGTTACATGCTATCATTTCCTAGCGGTCAATGTGTCATGGAAGTTGCACAGGAACCAAATAGAAACTCCTAACTCCTCAGTCTTCACATAAGAAAAAGCTTATATATCCAATATCTCTCCCCCTGAAATAACTAGAAGAGCTGCCAAAATTGGTTATCATGGAAACATCTTTGTTTCACATAGGTTGAGTAAAGCTTTAAGAATTTAATATGAGTGCAATTGACACATTTTGTAAGTATAAATGAAAGTTGATGATAGTTATTGTTAGACAGTTCTAACAGCCTGAGTTTCTCCCGTCAAACTTCTATAGCCTTGTTAGGTGCATGTAGAGGAAGTCCCTTATTGGTCTTTGCAAACAGGAATCATCTTGCTACTAAACACCCAAGTTCACTAATTTTATCAACTTTTCCATGAGCCACAATTTCACTTCTTCAGTTCTTCCCAATTTAATCTACAGCCTAGAAGTATCCTTTAAATATTATGATGTTGACCATCCTAAAGGTATAAATGATTCAATGCCAGATTGGCAAAAGCAAAATTCATCATTAGTTTATTGTGGGATTGAAATTCTCTTGTGATATTATCTGTTTGGTGGCTTAACTATGAAATAATGCAAATTTTTAAGGGTTGAAGCTGTAAATTTTTTTATATTTCCAGGTTGTCAGATATTATTTTTTGTAACTTGTCTTAAAACCTAATTATTTTTGTTTCTATTATAATTTATCATTATGATACACCTTCCTTGCATTGTGTTATTCCTCCTGATATTGTGCAATCAACAAGATTCCTCAACTTCGGTGATTATTTTCTTTAAAGATTGAAACTCGGTTGTTTGAGTATATTGCCTCAAAATGCTTTCTTCAATCAAATTTGTGTGCTCAAGTAATTTAGAACATGTTGCATTGTCATGAAAGATGTTCTTACTTCACTGGATGCTAAAAATGAAGAGAGTCATGTGGGACTGGGAACAACTGATTGGTGAATTATAGATTCAGTAGACACATTTTGGCTTGGCTTTTAGCATGGAAGACTTTCTTTTCTATGCCCTTCAGAACCATTTGATCTCGTGTAAAAACCTTTGCTTCATTTCATCATTTTTCTTTATTTTAAAAATAGTAGTATTGTCTTTCAGATAGCTTTCTGGAAATGGCTGATAGCAATATATCTTCTGAATTACCTGAAGAGACTCAAAACCCCAACCCAGATGGGAATGCACCATCTGAAAGTGATCTTGCGCTGGAAACTATAACACAAAAAGTTCAGGAGTCTCTCTCTCTTGAAAAAAGACATAAATTTTGGGAAACCCAACCTGTTGGGCAGTTCAAGGATATAGGTGACACTAGTTTGCCAGAAGGTCCAATTGAACCTCCAACCCCCTTATCTGAGGTCAAGCAAGAGCCATACAACCTTCCTAATCTCTATGAATGGGTTACTTGTGACATCAACTCTGAGGAGACTTGCCAAGAGGTTTATAACCTTCTTTCTAACAATTATGTTGAGGATGATGAGAACATGTTCAGATTTAACTACTCAAAGGAATTTCTACGCTGGGCTTTGCAACCTCCTGGTTTTTTCAGGAGTTGGCACATTGGAGTCCGTGTCAAAAGTTCCAAGAAGTTGGTTGCATTTATTACGGGTGTGCCAGCTAGAATCCGGGTTCGTGATGAAGTTGTTAACATGGCAGAGATAAATTTCCTGTGCGTTCATAAAAAGCTTAGATCAAAGAGGCTTGCTCCTGTCATGATCAAGGAGGTGACCAGGAGGGTGCATTTGGAGAATATCTGGCAGGCAGCCTATACTGCTGGAGTGATTCTTCCTACACCAATAGCAACTTGCCAATACTGGCACAGATCTCTGAATCCTAAGAAGCTAATTGATGTTGGCTTCTCTCGGCTTGGTGCACGGATGACAATGAGTCGAACAATTAAGCTTTACAAGTTACCAGAATCAACGGTCACCCCAGGATTCAGAAAGATGGAGATCCATGATGTTCCTGCAGTTACAAGGCTTCTTAGGAAATATTTAAGTGATTTTGTTGTTGCCCCTGATTTTGATGAAAACGATGTTGAGCATTGGCTTCTTCCAAAGGAGAATGTTGTTGATAGTTTTCTGGTTGAAAGTCCTGAGACTCATGAGATCACTGACTTTTGCAGTTTTTACACACTTCCTTCTACAATCCTTGGAAACCAAAATTATTCAACCCTGAAAGCAGCTTATTCCTATTACAATGTTTCGACAAAGACCCCGTTGCTTCAGCTGATGAATGACGCTCTCATTGTGGCCAAAAGACAGGACTATGATGTTTTCAATGCATTGGATGTCATGCAAAATGAATCATTCTTGAAGGAACTGAAGTTTGGACCAGGGGATGGGAAACTTCACTATTATCTTTACAACTACCGTGTAAGGCGTTCACTGAAGCCCTCTGAGCTTGGTCTTGTGCTCTTATAGTTTAAACTTAGGAATTTGAGTATGCAATGGATTAGAAAGTGGATTTTGGCTTTGGTGATGAACCTTGTATGGTTTTAGACCTTAAATTTTACTTTTCCTTGAAAACAAATGAATTTAGCAGATTCCTTGATGGCAATTCTGAGGTGTCATTGATGTTTCATTTGGCAGAACTAAAGGAACTACAATTCTTGTATCAATTCTTTTGGTCATGCTGATTGCTATGTCATTTTTATGTTATAATGCTTCTCGTCTAACTCTTTTGAGCAAGGTTTATGTCATGATTCTGTGCTAAAAATTTACATGTAATGAATGAATGGGGTTACTTTCTCTAAATATGTTACTCAGCCCAATGTAGAATGAGGTTTTTTTTTTTAAAAAAAAAGAACGATGGAAATGCACAAGCCAGAATTGGAATGAAGTTAACAGTCAGGAGTACTATGACCCAAAGATGAAGCAGATGTCCGCAATCTTCGGGGTAGAACGAGGTTTGATTTTGCAACGATCCCTTCTCTTTTTCCTTTTGTTTTTCAAATATGCTTGCCTAGAGCTTATCGATCCAAAATGGGTTCTTTAATGCATATAATTGGTGTTCGAAATTGTAAAAATAATAAGCCAAATTTTGCCTTCACTACAAATGTGTTGCTATTTAGGGACTAAAAATTAATGTTAAGAAAATTGAATCATTCACTGAATTAGATAGATATTGGCTCACAGATCATGGATAAATTAATATATTATAAATAATATATGCTTAAAATAAAAATAATGCTGTTATTTAGTTTAGTTTTTTCTCTTGTTTTTTCCGTTGTATCCAAAAAAAAAAATTAATTATTCATAATAATAAAAATAAATATTTAAATTCAAAGAGAAATAATCTATTGTAAAAATAAGAAAATGTCTATTAATACTCCATCATATTTATAGAAAAGATATATATTAATTTTATAATTTATAAAAAAATATATTTAGAATATATAAATACATTGTTCTTGGATTATTTTTTCCTTTCGTACAGCTTATTAGGTGTAGATATGCATAAATCATTGATTTGAAACATGAATTAATTTCTTTTTCAAAAAAAATATGATATCAATTCAACTGATATAACCACCAATTTTCCAGGTTTTATCACTTTAAGGTCGATGTGACATGCTTTAACCGATTCTTTAGTCCCTGATTTTTCTTCATATTTGAACCGGACACCGCTGGTGGGGCAAAAAAACAGAACCAAACACTAAACTGGTTCCTGATTCAACTGGACGAACCAACCAATTCAATCCAATTTTTAGGACAATGTGAAAACCAGCTCATTCCAATTTTTTTTTTTTAACTTGTTCTTTTTTAGAATATTGTTTGGTTGATGATAAAACACAATAATATTATACAATCCATACAGCTAATGTCACCCGGTGAGATAATTCTTCTTGCTGTTATTATTGTTATATTATTTCATAGAATCAACTAATCATACATTTCCCCTATTTCATAAATTCAGAACAAGATAAAATAAAATGAACTTGCAAATTCCAAAATTCTCCAGAATTTATTCAAATGGTTAAATATGTTTCTACTACAATCTTAAACATGATCAATCCCAATTGACCACAAAATGGAGAATTCACGGTCAAAAGAATTTGTTCAGATCTTAAAATGGCCTCCCCAGTCTTAAAAAAGAACAATCCCTAATTTTGTTCTCTCAAAAAATCGAAAAAGGCTTTCATGAAAGCTAGAAGTTCACAACCGGAGACGAACTAACTAGCAGCTGTTTGATTGTAGAGATAACCAACCTCGTGCAAGAGTACATTAGATTATACGTATATGAATTTATAGGTTAAAGTAATTGAACACACTAAAGACACAAGTCTCAAGAGAGCATGAGACGTACTCCCTCTGATCAAAAATATAATTTCCTCTCAACTACTCTTAATTCAAAATATAAACAACCTAATACATACTTTAAAAAAAAATCTCATTTTACTCTTTGTATTTGTTAATCTGGATACTAGCATAAAACGTATCTCGTACTTATCATAGAGTGCATTAGTAGCTAAGACCAAGAATAAAAAAGAAAAACAATATATATATTTTTTAAAAATGATGACTTTATTGGTATGCAATTTTTTTTCTCTTTTACTACTTATATTTTGATCTGGAGGGAATATGATACTGTAAGATCTCTGTCATAATTTGCCATGTGTCAAACAATAACATAAGATTCACTTCTATTCTTTGTACTCTTAAGTATAGCGTGGTTAAGGATGACAAAACTTGAACGATTAAGATATAGCAAATGCTTAACTACGACTGAGACACCCTCTTGCCAAGCGATAAAATATCCCTAATCAGATCTTATCTACTGCTTCCACCGTGGAACTCTAGACGGATATGGTACAGAATACATTGGCCTAATATAAACATGACTTATGGTGTAACCATAACAAACAAATGTGCAGGAAGGGGAAAAAAGAAAAATCTATCAGAAAACAAGGTAAAAAACCGATGCAGAAATTAAAATCAATGATAATCTATGATCGACCTTGTATTTCACCTACTTTAAGCCAAGAGAAAAGTTTCACCACGCGAACCTGCATGAACAAATCCACAAGAACCGAGGTTATTTGTGTTAAGCTATTGGTAATTAAAAAAAAAAAAAAAAAGGGTATTAAAATGGAGACAGAACTGTTTATTAGTACATTGTTCATAAATCTCTTTCACTAGTTGTAATACTGCATCAGCTTCTTCAGCAAATTTTGCAAGTCTTTCCGCCTCCTTGACTGCCTCAGCAGCCAGAAATGATTTGTTCTCAGCTTCTGCGAGTCTGTAGGCTGCAGTATCAGCAGCATCCTTGAAGGTCTCATAAGACGGCACCAAACTAGAGGCTGGTGGTTGATGTTGCCAGATGTCCTTTTCTTTCATTGGAAGTGTTTTTGCACCAGATGGGGCGTCCTTCTTTATCTTGTAACAATTTTGTATCTGCAGAGTTGGGCAGAGTTGAGAAATCAGCACCGCATAAACAGGAAATCAAGCTTCAAGATTATAGCAACTTGAATTTATTTATAGGTTTGCTTATGTGCACAGACTATATCATAGTAGAGGTTAGGTAGTAGCCCGATGGAAGCCGTGGAGCAGCTAGCTTGAGAGGCATTGCCAAATACATAGATACTTTATTGCAAAAGGCATTTTGAATAGCGGTGTGGCAGATACACGTTGTACCTATGGCTAGTGGGCTCTTGTTTAACGGGCCAAGGGTAAATCACGTGAAGTGTGTAGGTAAGCCGTAGGTCCAACAAAGCGTTTCCTTTAGCAATAACCAGAAGTCTTGTTGATTTCAACATTGCTGAAAACAAGAAAGGGGATAGAGAATCTCCCAGCCTAGCAACAGGCGAATTTAAGAGTAGCTTCTTTTCCCTTCCTGCACCTAATGTCCTCTGTCGAGTCATTGCCACAAAACTGCATCTGAGACATTCCTTCCTCCAATAATAAGCACTCTGAGCAGAGGAAATAGTACCCTTTGAAATTTCGCAGACAGATAATATACTAAGAGATTGGACAAACACTTGTGACCAAGATAGGTCTAAATCCTTCAACTCAACAGAAAGATCATTAAGAACTATAGTGATGAACTTATAAGATTGAGGCTTTTAAGTTTCAACGCAGATATGTTAGAGGATACCGCTTTTCTCTCTCTGTAAAACTACCAAAATTTTATTTCTTAAAATTAGTCAAAACTAGATGCAGGCCCACTATTAATGCATGGGGTCTAAAAAATAAGCCACACCATTCATGACTAAGGAATAGCACAGCTTCCTCTAGATTTTATATGTATTGCCAAATAGATATATTGATATTGACTGTCATTGAATTTTACAACTATTTGCAAGAGGTTCTAGGAAATGTATCACTGTGAAGCTACCCTGAAACAGAATCCCAACCTTGCATGAATCCATGAGGTCATCACCACAAAAATAGCAAATCCCATAAAAAACCCAAGCACCATTGCAGGATGTTATTGTAACGATGAGCTACTGACATGGCAAAATTAGTCAGCCTCACATGCCCCTACCATGTTAGAATTATCAGGTAATGTCATCTTAGTTAACGATTGCACTACAACGTCAATATTATTTCTGAATTGTGAAATCCAAAAACAAAAATGTCTTAGAGCACATTCATCGAGAGAAACTTCCAATAAAATTTGGGGATAATCTACGAAATAACATTAAAGAGGGATAAGTATGAAAACATATTCCATAAAGAAAGAAAAGGAATCAATGATTATTTGTATGGCAAGCACCAAAGTCAAGTCCCCAAGCAACAAGCTTCATGAAAGATAAAAGCTGAACAGGACAAAGAAGTTTCTTATATTGTGTAGAAGTAAAATTATTTATTCCATTCACCCAAAAATAAAAATGATTTATTCCAAGCAACCATCACAGAAAAGAAAGAAAGTATCATCAAGATTTACTGTCATGAATCTAAAGAAAAACACTCAAAAGCTGCAAGAAGAAAATTTTATATCTTTATTTTATGAATATCAAAGCAAAATAATATACCTTCTCAAGTTTCCCTTGAGCAACAAGCCTCCTCAACCTCGTACTTAATGCCCTTCTGAAATTTGGAGGAACCTCATGCCTTTTCTGCAGTATTATACTCAGTCATCGCCCTTAGTGAACTCAAGCATAGAAAGCACACTAGATAATACTCATTTTGACTAAACAATTAAGGACAACAAACACTTCCTATTACTTCACGCAGCCGCATAAACAAAAAAGTAGCTGTAACACAGACCTAACTGTTTGACTAAATGTAAATCAAAATGGTCATAACAAGAGTAATTAACCAGAGTCAGATGAGACATAATAAAACAACCAAATAAAGATATTACCCAAAAAAAAAAAAAAACAGCACTTTGACTGGAATAGTATTGTACAATGTTGAAGGTTATTGCAACTATTAGACCTTAACCATACCTCAATGAAACTAACAATGGTATTTATGTCAGAACCATTAGTATCTTTTATCGTTGACAGAGCTTCAAAAACCATTCCATTATACCTGGCAGAAACCAAAGAAGAAGGAGGAGGAGGAGACACAAATCCCTTAGGATATGATTTTAAATAAGTGGTAAAATAATAATCACAAGGGCAAGTTAAGTAGAACAGCAAGGAATTAACACCACTATCATAAGTTGAAGGAACTGATTGCCAAAACTGAAACCAGATAAGGTCTTTGCCAAATGTTTAGCGTCGAAATTGTTCATTTGTATTTTAGAATAATTCATTTAATTATTTTAAAACAAACCTTTGATAGAAGAAAAATATTTTTAAGCATGAACAGAGTTAATGAATGGAACAATCACTATGGCAGAATAAGACATCCTCCAAATGGAAAATAAACACTGCTTATAACGTCATTTTATACCATATTCATTCCAATAAAAATTAACATAAAGCATAAAATCTAGCCAATAGCATTGCAGCTCCTCTTGAGCTCAGGCAATCTTTTTATTCTTTTAATTTTCTCCACATGTTTTATGGGACTCTGTGACTTTGTTTTTATTCTGTCAACATTTCTCTACATATTTTATTAGGGTTGATATGTTAAAAAGATGAGTTCAATCAAAAAACCTTTTAAGTTATTATTTCTGCTATGCATCACACGGTGAAAAAAATATCTAGTTACATATAAAATAACAAAAAAGAAGAGTCACTAGATTTTTAAGCTGCCATTATTTTCCAACAACAAATCTATTCTGTATGGAAAATGAAAAGTGTAAATAGTATTGCAATATATTGTACGGGTCAACATTCATATAATTAAGATTTGTTAAATGCTTACAAGAGTAAAAATTAGGAAGAGACACAAAAGTATACCGTGGAGCATTTTTCACATCCTGTGCCTTTTGAGAAGCATCATCAATGACAGCATCAGAAGATGCACTTTGACGAACTGAAGTAACAGAAGTGGCATTTTGAAAACTAGCAGCTGGAGCAGGCATAACAGCTTTAATCTTTGGATTCCTAGCTTTGTCTTTAGAACCTTGAGCAGCAGTATTAACACTTAAGTTCCTCCATTTATCCTAGCAGGTCAAAAGGATAAAAACAAAGGAATGATGAAATATATGTGCAGATTTAACTTTGCGCAGGATTCAGAACCATTAAAAATAAAAATACACCCATGAGGATAATTTTAAATTTGCCAAATACAGAAAAAGAAGATGGTATAGGATAATATAAAGCATAGATGTCAAGTGTGTCGTCTGACATTGCAACTGCTCTAACAAATTGTCACATATATCAGACTCACATGGATGTGCGTAAAAAGAAAAAGAAAAGAAAAGAAAAAGATAGTTAGAGACACAGTAAGCACATCTTGGACTTTCGATAGACATTTCTTGCTCTAATGAAGCCAAAAACAGAGGAACAGGGAAAAGTCCTTTCCTATTCCGTTTGATGATAGTTAAAGTTCTCTTTTATTTTGTTTTTCTTGTTCCTTACTTCCGTAGGTTTGAGTGTCAAAACGCATTGCATATACGCACTCTATGAATTCATCCATGTAAGTTTCCGCAGTTCTTCATAAAAGACTGATCATAAAAGGAAGTTGTCTTTGTTAAGTGATCATCACCCTGTGGTTCATAAAATAGAAATTACAAAATCTGCCGATGAATTTTACAATAATTATTTCTTCAACAGTAAAAAATACTTAAACGTAAGCATATTAAAAGTACAAAGGACAAAAAGAAATTACCATGAAAATCAACAAAATGAAAACCTCAAAAGATAACCTTTGACTCAATTTGATCCTCAAAGTTTGAATATCTCATTAGAATCTTCCAAAGAATACTCTTTCTTCTATTTCTAGATGCACTCACATTAAACCGTAAAAAATAGTTGATTTGACGGTCAAGAGCTTAGTTCTCGCCAAAAATAGAAACACGCCTTGAAAGAGGATCATAACACTTGAAATAACACAACGCCATATTGTTTTGGTACCTAGTTATAAAAGATTCAAAAATATAGCTACTAACCAATCCAAGTCAGGCCAACATGGTCACCTCAGTAATCACCGTACCCACATGTTATATATTCAGGTAAGCAAAATTATCGGGAAAATAATTTACCAGCAGCAGCTATAGGGAATAAGGAACCCTAAGAAATCGTGCCAAGTAATAAATTTAATAGAATAGTCAAGGCAAGGCAAGGAAAAGGGAGTGAAAGAGTAAGTAACCTTGAGGTCAATGTTGGAACGATGAGTGAGAAAAGGCGCAAACTCGGGATCCTTGAGAATGTTCTTCCACTTGCCGGGACCGTGCTTCGCAATTCCGGCGAGTAATGCTTCTTCTTCCTCCGCCGTCCATTTCTGCTTCTGATTTCCCATTGGTTCTCCCCTCTTCACTCTTCTTGCGCCCTTGATAACACTCCTCTGTGTCACCTCAGCCTTTGGAACTGAAACACTTCGTTGCGTTTAAGATTCTGCGGTTCAATGAGAGACAGAAAAGCTTGTCTGCTGTCTCCCTCCCGCTGTGTTTCAGTCTCTCTCACCTATTTTTGTTTCTTGGGTACGTGTAGAAATATTTGGCCAAAAAGGATTTTCGTAGAAATATATTTTTATATAATTTTTTAATAAATATCTTTTAAAAATCTAATATTGGTTAATTTTTAAAAATTACAAATAAATAATCATAGACTAATATAGTCTACTATTTATGGTAAAAAATCAAATCAAAAAATTGATTGACTAACATCTGATTATTATAACTAGCACGTAATTAAAAATATTAATTTATTTAATAATATCTTATTAATATTTTAATGTTTAATAATTTAATATTATTATCATTTATAAATATTTTTATATAATTCACATGTTAATTTTTAAAGTTTATAAATAATTAAAATATATTTTTAGTGCTTTAATTTTGTACAGGATTTAATTTTAATCTCTTAATACATTATGGGAAAATACCTTTGTGGGTTCTTATAGTTTACCTTAGTTTTGAAATAGGTCCCTATACTTTCAATTGTTGTAATCAAACCCTTATATTTTTAACTGTTAAGCCCATTGGTCCTTTTCCATTTAACACTGTTAAAAGTTAACAGATTTATTAACTTTGTTAGTGTAAAATAATTAGAAGCCAGAAAGAGAAAAAAAATTGACACGCTGGACGGACACTATGGACTAGGAGAAGTGAAACATGAAATAGGTTATTCACGCTGGTTCTCTGTGAATGCCACTGTGGAAAACAAGAGATATCGCGAGGGTGGCCATTGCCAAAGCTTTTTTGGTTCTGCTTGATGGTCATTCTGATTCGTCTTCAGCTCACCTGTGCTGGTGAAAGAGGTAAGCTTTTTCATTGTCGTGTTTTTTCATACATCTTTGGTCACACTGGTGCTCTATGAACGTCATGGTGGATAACAAGAGAAAGAACACGTCGCTTTTGTGGCCAAAGCTTTTTTGGTTATGCTTCATTATCATTTGATTCGTCTTCAGTTCGCCTGTGCTGGTGAAAGAGGTAAGCTTTTTCATTGTTGTATTTTTCCATTCATCTGCGGTCGTGCATTTCTAGTTCTGCCCTGTTCCTTGCTATTAACATCTTCTTTCTTCAAACATGAATATTATATGCTTTGTATTGTATGCGTCAGACAGAGTAAGAATGAGAGAATGAGAGTTTGGTTTATGTCTATATTTCATCTACAGTCGTGCGTTTTCAATTCTGCCCTGTTCCTTGCTATCAGTGTGTGTCAGATAGAGTGACCAAGTCTTACTTTTTCAAATTCCTTCAACTAGATCTAGCTAAAATAATGAGACATACAAAATGTATTTTTTCAAATTGAGAATGAGTATGGAGCATAAAGTAAGTTACTTGGAGCTGTTGGCTATAATTATGTGATTTGGGTTGCAAAAATGGTTGTTGAAATGGGAATTGGAGTCCCTTCGGTGATGTGTAATGAAGATGATGCACCAGATCCAATGGTAAGAATCCTTACTTTTCATCTTGCTAATTCTAGTGTCTCCTGGAAGGCTGAAAGTTGTTTAATATCAAGTCCTTATTTTCTGTTGATTCTTATGATATATATTTTTAGGTGGCTAAATAACTTTGTTGGTCTCTTGAATTTCAATTAATTTTTAATTTGGTTCTTAGAGTTTAAAAGTTCTAGTTTAAATTAGTCTCCGACCTCTATCAATTGATCTTCACGAATATGCTGTTATGTATTTTTGATACAGCCAATTATTTTCCATATCAGCATTTTAAATATGTAAGAGAGTAATATAACATTTCCATATCCAAGATTCAAATTTAAATTAAAGGTTTCTCTATGGTAAACAAGATTCTACAAAGAGGGAGTTTGCCAAAGATTTGCTATCTTACACTGCACTTTTTGCAAGACTATTGTCTCTTCATTTAAAAAGATGTAAATGTGATAAAAGCAGGTAATGTGGCAATTTCTTTCTTTTTGGTGTTCCTCTGGTTGATAATTATGAAACCTCATAATGCTATAGGCACTGCATTTGATTATTTTGAATCTGCTCTCTCCAAATTGATGGTCCTTTCTTTCTTAGCCAATTCAGTTCGGTAAGTATACTTGTCCAATTCATGGTTATATGCAATACATTCTCTCTATTTTCATCCTATTATATATTGTCAAAGCATTCTTTTCATTAAACATCATATGTATATTGCATATTACTGCAGTATGATAGAGGAACAAATTTTAGACATATAGTTAGAGTTCCTTTCATCACTACTAGCTACAACATGATGGAGGAAATGGAAGATAGAGATCAAGAAAAGGAAGAGAATGAGCTTGAAGGCTATAACTTGCTGTATAAACTTTAATGCTATTAGGTTTTTAGTATTGTAGGAGTTAAGACTGTTAGAATGTACCAAAGTGGGCAGATTGACAAATTTATTTTCTTTCTTTTGTTGTAATTGATTTAAATTTAGTAGGTGGATATTCTACTTATAAATGTTGTACTTGTGCAAACAATTATTATTGAATGAAAAGTGATTTTTGTTGTTAATTTCTGATCTTTTATGCAACAACTTTAGGGGCCACAAGCATATTTTTTATGCTGATGCTTTGTAGTAAATATGTCAGTTTTACTACAAAACAATAGCAAGACTTAGCAGCAAATTATATAAGTTCTATAACTTATAATGCAGAATAAGACTTAGCAGCAAATTATATTAGCTTTACAACTTAAGGCTTTACAAATTATATCCGCAAATTATATCAGCAACAGCAAATCTTCTCTCCAATGCCTCCAATGTTCGTTTCCTTGAATCTTGAGTGATTGACTTTACAGCCATGGACACCTTCTTGCTATATGAATAAGAATAAGACTATCAAACTCTAAATACATTGAGAATACAAAGTTATCTAGACATACATTATAACACAAAAGAAAGAAACACCAATAAATTCTTTCCAATTTTTGTTCTCAAATGATAAAAGAATTATCTATCAATAAAGAAAAGCAAACAGCAGGAGGTCATGAAATCCCACTAAGTAAATAGAAACAAAGGAAAAGGGATATGAACAAAAGAGCAAGGGGTGAAAAGGGTGGAGGCATGATTGCAGACTGAAATTTCAATAAATTATATTAGCTTTGAAGCAATGTATAGCCATAACTTGAACTAATGCACAATAAAGATTATAATTAACTAAGTCTTAAACTAATGTATAGCCATAACTTGCACTAATGCATAATAAGAACTAATACAACAATGTATAGTCTTGGCATTTACAGCCATATCTAAAAAATTACAAACAAAACATATTAACTATCTAAAATGAAATACAATTAACTAAGTTTGACTGCTTGATTCTTCTCCTATGACCGCAAGTTCTTCAATTGTGACCATACTTCCTATAAGCTTTACACTTAACGCTTGCATTTTTTCTTCTCATTTTGTGTGGATGTGGTAGTTCATCCTTCTCCTTATTCTGTCGCTTTTTCAATCTACCTGGACGTTTGTGAAATATTGGTGGATCAATAGGCTCTGTTTCAATTCTATCCCACATTTCTTTTATATTGATTGGTTGTCTAATTGGATCATAACACTCTTCATATTTTTTTCATGGTAAGATATTCATTCACATATTGTTGAGGATCCTCACACTTCTCATAAATGCAAATAACAGCATGCTTGCAATTAACACTAAAATAAATTATAAATTCAATTTCATAAAGTGGGGAGTAAGTTATATCATTAATTTACCTGTAAGGGATTCCAAATAATTGCCACCACCGGCACTCACAAGTCTTTTTCTTAAATCAACAATAAACCTTTGACTGTTATATTGAAACTTCAAACTTGTCATCTCCAGCTCATCTCGATATCCATTTTCTAGACTCTTCAACCTCCTTGTCAAGCCTCTTACTGGGTCTTAAGCATACAGCACCCTTGCCACAATATTTTGCAACTTTAATTCAATTCTCTACAAATATATTCATCAATACATTCAAACCCAATCAAAGAGACCAACAATAGGAAGTTCTCTTACTTCTAACAACCGGCTATTGAAAGACTCTAATATATGATTCATAATCCTATCACTTGTTGAATACTTAGAAAAGTAAGACTTAGTACAACATGATGGAGGAAATGTCATTAAGTGATTGTGCGTTTCCTTTGACACGTTATGTAATTGTTTCATAAGTTCTCTCCAAGTTAGGGGTAAGTGGCTTTTGCTGCACGTATCACTAAATCTCTAACCACCGTTCCTCTACCAAACCTTGACTTTATGTTGGCATACAAGTGTCTAACACAAAATCTGTGCTCAACTCTTTCAAGCAATTCTTCAAATGCTTGAACTAAATCCTATATAACCAATCAAAGTAATTGTTAATTTCAAACTAATTTCACACACTCGAAACTATTAAAGAAAAATTAAACACATTTCTTTTGCTGATATAAGATAAAAACCCATTTCTTTTCAGCCATACTTCCAATATCATCAAATAAATTTTTTAAGGACCATGTCCAAGAATCTTTATTCTCAGTTTCAATCACTACCACGACTAAAGGAAAATATTGATCATTGGGGTCACGGGCAACGGCCACCAACAAAATACCATTAGACGTGCCTTTGAGGATGCAACCATCTAATCCAATAATTAACCTACATACATTATTGAAACCCCTTCTCATCGGTTCCGACCATACATACAATCTTTTAAACACACATAGGCAATCTACATAAGGATTATCAGTGACAAGAGAAAATATAGATTCTAGGTTTCTCTTTTTTAATTCATTACAAAAGTCTATTAACTTATTGTATTCTTCTTTATGATCTCCCTCAATCTTCTTCTTTGTAATCTTTCTAGCCTAAAATGCCTCGTTGATTGAAGGTTGAACCATGTAATCTTGTTTGACAATTGAAATCACATCCCCTAACTTTCAATTCTTGTTCATCTTCACATGATCTTCTATCTTGTCTGAAACCCACTTTGATGAAGCCAATTGTGAATTAAATGTTACCCCACAAGTATGCTTTGGTCCAATTGTTTTCACTCGAAAGGTCATTGTGCCACC